TTAGCATAAATTACAGAATTTATTATCTTCTTTCATTAGCACAAAGGCACCAACAACTTCAATGCCTTAGTCAAGAAAGAGGCTAAGGAAAAATATCGTTATAACCAGTGTCAAACCTATTGATAAAAATATTTATTCTGCTGAAATTACCAGAATTCTAGAAGGTTATAAACAGTTTTTGCAAACTTGAGAAGTTCTAGTTTCAAGAACAGCTTACAAACAAGGAATGTGTATAGTTTCAAGTTTTGAGAATGAAGAACCTGTGTTTGGCAAAACAAGTATTATTTTGTGAAAAGACTGCAAAGTTTTATTTGTGTGTAATCTTTTTAAATCTTGTTGTGTTCGTTACATAAAGAGTTATCCACTGAAAAATGTGATGTAGTTAAAGTAATAGCACCAGAAAATCTATAATAATGAATATAGAATAAAAATATTGCTTTTTCTCAAATACTCACCACCATTTACTAATTTGTAAAAGAATGACAGTAATTTTTTCCAAACTGAGCTAAATTTTAATTTTTTATCAAGTCATAAATTATGTTTGTAAAAAAAGTTTTATTGTAAATTTTAATTCAGATGAGGCAGAGTATATCAAGAAATTTAGTACCTTATTAAAATATTTTTCAGATGATCCCAAATTTCAAAACTGAATTTTGGAATAAACATTGAGGCATATGCTAACATAATTTTTATTTTAAATTACTGCAAATTAAAAATAAGTTTGAATTGAATGCACTCTCTTAGTAACAAAAACATACTATCTATCATATTCTTGAGAGAATAGTTTGTATTTTTTTAATGAATGCTCTGATATGTATAAAAAGTATAACATATTTAAATTTTAAGATTTTGCATAAAAATTATTATATTTCCTCTATGTATACAAACAAAGTAATTGCAAATGAATAAATTAAGTTTGAATATTGATCTGGATATTTTTTGTTACTATTTCTAAGTTATGTCATTATTTTTACATTCCTTTATTTACTTCAAATTTATTATTTCTATACACCAATGTAATTAATATTGGAATGTGTCCTTAATTAGAGATTGGGGGTTGACTAATCCAATATTTGTCCACTCTTTTATATAAATTTTTATTTGTGAAAGTAATATTTTCATTTTTAAATAATAAAAAAATTTAAAAATACATAGTAATAAGAATTTGCTTCAGCCAAAAATTAAAATTCTTTTTTATTTTCTCTTTAAAACATTAGTGGTACTAACTATATAGCGTCTGTTGGTGCTTTAACGAATGAAATGTATAAAAGAATTTTAATTTTACACATATCAACTTAAAGAAAGAAAAAAAAATTATATAAAATAATTATATAAATATATATATATTACATAGCACATCTTAAATAAAAATAGTTCTTTTTTTAATTTTTATCGATTTAAATAATTAATTTATAATTTGATTTAAATTATCTTCTCTTTCTTTAACAAATATTTACTAATAATGGTGCAACCTTTCTCTCTTTTAATTTCCTTCAAAACACTTATTTTTGGGGCAACCTTTAGCTGCTTTTAGGTGCTTTCAAAATACCATTATTTTGGTCCAACCTTCTCTCGTTGTTTGGAGCTAGTGAAAGCACCAATTTATGTAGCCAGCAAATGAATACCAATGTTTGGAGCAACATAGCCGAAATTTTTTACAGTGTAGATAAAAGTTAGCTTTAAGAGTGCTGACGAAATGCCAATTAATATTTCGTAATTAAAAATCTGTAAAATTCAAGAAGAAAAACTAATTTTCATACAATAAATACTTATTTGCTAATAAATTATGTTGTTAAACCATATTATAATAAGCTTCATTGATTATTCTTTAATTATTATTTAAAACAGCAAGACAATAAATTAACAAATATTCTATGTTGTATTTGAAACATTTAAATCTCGTTGCATTTTTATAAAAGGTACTATTTTATTCATTTAAACTAATTATTCCCTTCATTTATTCAAGTCTTTGCTTTATATTTGTTTAATATTGATATCAAATAATTAAATTTAAAATTACCATTTCTAAGTATAACATTTTGTAACTTCATAAATTTTAAAGTTTGTTTCAAATATCAGACCTATATTTTTTAGAAATATTGCATATGATAAATTATACTTTAAAATAATGTAGTTCTTTTAAAAAAAGTCTTTGAATTTTTATAATCTAAACAAAAAACTATACTAAAAATTTCACACTAAACAAAACTTTTTGAAAAAATAGGCAAATAAAAAAATGCAAAGAGGATATCATTTCTCAATGCCTTAAAAAAATAACTATTTTTGAAAATTTTTCTAAAACTAGTTTGAATTAAGCTAATGTATATGATATTTTTAAAATATATTTTTAGTTCTGCAAATATCCCTAAATAAATTTAATTGTAACTTGAACATTGTTTTGTTGGACTTGAATGTAATTTACTTTAAATAAAGAAAATCCAAGGTTATTTGGAGAAACTGTTTCAGTGATTTTGTATTAAGAAAACCTCCAAACACAATTGATCATGAAAAATATGGAAAAAATTAAATAAAATAAATGAAAAAGATGAAGAAAAATCATGCATATTAAAATTAAAAATTTTATTAAAAATTATAATTTATTAGCAACAATAACAGGAAAAATATAGAACATAGTGAATCATTAAATGTTTAACAAATATAAATGCAAGAATGGAAAAAATTATTCAGTAAACTTAGAAGAAGGATTGAAAATAGTTGTAACAAAATTTTTTTTAAATTAATGCTCAGAATGTTGGAGGTTAAAACAAATTATAGTAAAGGAGTGGCTCTAAAAGTTTTTATTTTTTTACTTAAATTAAAGGCTCATTTTTAAGTTGGTAAAAGACAAAGTACAAGTTTTAAAATAAAAAATGCTGCAGATATCTGGTGTAAATATATATAACTTTATAGCATAAAAGGGTAAGAGCATTTAAACATAACATACCAAAATGGTTACAACAGCTTAAGAAAGATTTCCTTAAATATTTACAATAATAAAATTAATAATTAAAATATTAAGAAATTTTCAAATTGAAAATAATAATATAAAAAAAAACAGTACAATAAATAAATTACATAGAAAACAGAAATTTTTTAACTCTATTAAGCAAGATATAAAAAAAATTTAAGCATTGCTACAGAAGACAGGCAATTTTTAAGCTTAAAAATAAAAAGAAAGGAGAGTTAGAAAACAGAGTCATTAAACAAAATTGAATATACAAAAAAAAAATTTTTTTTTTTTGCAAATGAAAGTACACAATATTCAAAACAAAAAGGATTATAAAATGTTTAATAGTTAACTATATACAAGAATTAAATACAATTCTTCCTTAAAGCTAAGATAATTAAGTGCTTTAAAATACAAAACTAATTTTAATTAAATAGAAGAGAATTTTATATTTTATATGATAAAAACATGTGAAGTCAAATATAATCTTAATAATGTTCAGAATGTTGATACTAACAATTATGCCACCGAAACAAAGCTAGTTTTATTGATGCTTAAATAAGAAAATCTAAAAGCTGTAAGTACATAGAAGCTATATAATGTGATAAAAATACAAAGAGAACAAGGAAAGAAAAAAAATTAAATGAGTAAAACAACTGCCAAAAATAATTATATTTATTTTAAAAATTCTTTTACATTTGTTTTAATTATTTAAAAAAAATTAAAAAGCAAGAAAACAAAATATTTAAGTCGTATAAATTCCCTGCCAGCTCACATGATTATATCCGTAATTTAGAGTGCTTTTTAATATTGTGTAATATAGCAAAATATATTAAAACATATTTTGTTCTGGCTATATTAATACAATATTAAAAAGCACTCAATTTATGGACATATTCATATGTGCTGGCAGGTAGTATATATCACTTAATTTGTTTTCTTGCTATTTAATTATTCTCAGCAGTTTTTGCATGTGTGTATATATATATAAAGCACAATAAGTAAATCAATAGGTTTCAATACTGAGCATAAGTTGCAAGTATATAGAACTCGTAAAATAAGATCAAAATACAATACAAATCAACAACGGAAAACATGGAAAAAATTACAAAATAATGAAAAAAGAGAAAAAGAAAATTATTAACATTATTAAAAAAATATAATAATAAAAATCTGGAAGAAAGGAAGATATTTCTTCATCAGCTCACATGATTATGTCTGCAAAAAGGATTGCTTTTTTTATTTTTTAAGTGCTCCTCACACTATTGTATTGATAATTTTTTTGCTTTAGCTACATTGATACAATATTAGAAAGCACTCCTTTTTGTAGATATAATTGTGTGCAGTGATGAAAAGATTTCTAGTAATAGCTTTAATATTTAAACTGATATGGGTGAATAACAAATGGGTTATTATGTTGAATGAATAATCCAAAAGCAAAACTAATTATTCCTCTTCAACGTTTTCATTTATTTTTACTTGAATTGAAACCTAGGGATATGGGACTTGAATACTAGGGATATGGGACTAATCATCAATACCGATAAGACCAAATACATGCCTGTACTTGCTAAATTAAATTCTAGTGAATCCTATCTGGAGATTGGTTCCCACAGGTTTCAGACTGTTCAGAATTTTACTTACCTTGGTTCAATAGTTACTGCCGACAATAACATAGACAATGAGATTCGGAGTCGTCTAATTTGTTCAAATAAAGCTTTTTATGGTTTAAAACGTTTTTTCAAATCCTCTCTTTTATCAAAAAATACAAAACTTTTACTCTATAAAACATTAATTAGGCCAATACTTACCTATGGCTCTGAGACCTGGAACCTAACTCAAGCTGGTGAAAATAAAATTGCCATTTTTGAGAGAAAAGTTTTGAGGGCCATCCTTGGTGGGATAAAAATAAATAATTCCTGGAGAAGACGATATAATACTGAACTGTATAAAATCTACAGAGAGCCAGATATTGTGAAATTCATTAAAATAAATCGAATGAACTGGGCAGCTCACATTTTCAGAAGGAATGATGACTCAAATTTAAAGAAANCCGTCAAAATGAAATTTTAACTTTTATTATAAACTTTCATACAAATTTCAAGTAGTCAGCTGGATAAATTACTTAAAAAATGTAATTTTTTCTACATATAAAATTTAGCAGAAAAATTCAATATAATTTAAACAAGTTTTGCAATCGAATGACTCATATAGAAGAAAGAAATCTTATGTTTGGATAAGTTAGTTATTTGTATTAAATTTTTTAAGAAGTTTGATGAAAAAGTGTTTTTGGAAAGCACCAAATTAAAAATGGGGTAGCAAATAATAAAACATTTAAACACAGAAATTGTTGAAAGAAGAGAAGTCTGTAGCAAGATTTTAAAATAAGGTGTTAAATCATTTTTCAATTATTTTCGATACAAAGTGTTGTTACAAATTTCTATCTTCTCTCGATGCCTTCTTTCAATCCCAGCTACTATGTTGGTAACCCAAGCAGGGAATTTTCTTTTTTGTGTTTGCTTCAATCGGTAACCACTAATGGCAGGGGCCATTTCTTCTTGCATTTCTGAAAAATTTAAGAAAAATAAAATAAAACAATCAAAAAAATATTACATTTGTGTGACAATCAAAAAAATATTACATTTCATATCAGTTACGTTTCAAAATATTACACAGAGAGAAAATAGTAAAAAGGTAGCATGTTTCAATCTCAATCTGTTTACACTAAAAAATTGTTAAAATAATTTAAAATGCTTTAATATAGCCTTAAAAAATTCTCAAATTAGGCTGTATTTTAGACTTTTCCCTAACCATAACTTTTAATTATTTGTGATCAATGATTAGCATGCACTCTGTTTTTTAATGGCGGACATTCTGATAAAGAACAGAAAATGTTTTGATTGTATTACATTTGCACAATCCATAATACATTTTATTTATAATACAAACTAATGAATAAAATGACACTCAAATCAATACTTATAAAAATATGGGGAAAATATTTATAAAAAAAATTTACGATGTATAATATGCATTTAAACATAAAATCAAATATAGCATTGAATTCTATTCATTTGAAGAAATTAAACACATTCCTATTTATTGATTTTTTAAAACACCATGAAAGTTTATTTAAGTTACAGACAAAACTAAACACAGGTTTTGCAAACCTCCTCAAAAAAAAAAAAACATTTCAGGTTTTTTCAAAGCATTAAGGGTCTAATTTTTATATTTTTTAAGCTTCCTGTTATAACATTAATCAAAAAGGTACTTTATGGATTTTGATTTGTAAAATACTAATCTCCAGTAGTGTACAGCATATAAATTAATAATTGTTTTATAACAGTACTCATCTTACTGTATTCTTTTATTGTTGGTAATTACTACCTTATGAGCAATTCTATGATACAAGGGACAACATAATTAAAAAGAAAAACATTTAATAAAATCCCTCCATTAACGAATTTCTTAGCTTTTATTTACTTTAGATATGAAATTTAAAAAAAAAAACAAATTTCGTAATAATAATAATTAAAATTTTAATATCTGAACATTATTTGTCAGTAATCCGTAGCATTAGTCACCGAGCTTTTCTCGATTTGCCACTTTCTCTACAATTTTATAATATGTCAATTCAAGTAAACTTTCAATATTTCTAGCTAATTTGAAATTTTTTTAAAATAAATGTAAAAAAATAATCTCATTATTGCTTATAGAAGGCAAATTAAGTGAGGAGAGAAGGAAGCATCTCAGATAATTTAAAAAAAAGTATTTATCTATGAAAAAAAGAGTTTAAAAAATAAGAAACTACCGTATAATAAAAAAGTTTTTTTTCTTGCATTTTTAAAAAAATTTTAAGCAATTTTTTAAGAAATTCTATGTGTTTTTTTAACTATAAACATAAAACTCTACACAGCGATTCCATTTGAGCCCTCAGTAGAGCTGGGACAAGGGACAATTATTTTTGTCTCTTTTCTTGCCCTCAGATGTATTTAGCTTTGGAAACAAATAATATCATGCTGATATTAACATACAACATTCCATTTGTAACTAAAAGATGTAAGGCATAAGAATGAAAAATTTTAACTAAGTAATAATATCTATCTAACGAGGATTGTGCTGCTTAAATTCAATGCAGAAGTTGCGGACTAGTTGAAAAGATTTTGAAAGACCATAACCCAGTATAAGTCACACTTTCTCATCTTATTTTATATATTAATATTGATAAGTATAAAATAATTTCAAAAATCATGCTTAAAAAATGGTATAATGTATCATATTTCTTTAAATTCAATAAAATTTTGAAAATAATAAAAAATGTAAAATTTTAGACTTAATGCAATGTCTTAAAAAATAACAAAATTTAAAATCATATGAAATACAATAAAAAAACTATTTAACTATAGATAATTTGTATACCATATTTTAAATTCAGGGTTTTAAAATTTTTTAGTATCCCTGCACTCAGGTTAAGAAAGGTCTAATTTTAAAATTAAGAGCTTTGGCATACAAGTAAAAACATATAAAAGCTGTATTTTAAATTCCATTAAAAAATAACAGTTAACAAATGATCAAAATAGAAAATTTTGTTTACAGTTAAAATTGATATTATGCTCTAAATAGTTTGAATTGACATTCTTTTACACAAAACCTTTCTCTATATACGATTCTAATGCTATATTGTAAATGTTTTCTTTCATCAAAAAATTACAGCATTGAGGAATTTTTTTTATGTATTTTTACTTTAGACATGAAATATAACAGGGGGCAAAAATATAGTCCCTTGGTTCAAAAATGTTCAGTATTACTGAAACACACAAAAGCAATAAATAAAACCAGGTATGAACAAAAATTCTAAGTGGCTGTTTTTATTTTTCACTGCCAACATATTTAAAAAATAAAATATTTTATCGAAAACTTTTGCATAAAGAGTTCAGGAACAATTCAACTTCAAAAATAACTATAACGAATAAAACTGCAAAAATAAATAATAATAATAATAAAACCTACTAAGTATTATAATTTCATGCAATCGAATCAAGCTGCACACACATTTAAATTAAAGAANATGAAGAAAAAAAATCAAAATAAAGCCAATTAAGTTATTGATAGTAACTTGAAATAGCCTAGTAGCTTCATTTCACACCAACACAATCTTTTATAGTTGGTGGCAGCCTGCAAACTGAGAAAAAATAATAGAAAGCAACCTTGCCTGCAGTATCTTAATCAAAAAGTGCAGACAAAAATGTCAATATAACATTGCAAGATTGTTTCCTGGGACCATAAAACTTATGTGTGCCTTCATTGCATGGACTAAGCATATAACTTGTTACTATCAAAATGTTACATCAAAATTTCAAGAATAAGATACAAAACCGTGTTTCACTTTTTTAAATGAGTCAAAAGCCTATCTGGAGATAATTATGTATTTTTGTGGTAAAAAATTATGCAAATATAAAAATTTTAATTAAATTATACTCAATTGTATTTTAAAATAATGAGAGTAGTTCTTTAATTGAAATTGAATAAATAAAATTAAAATTGATTAAAAATATTTAAAAATCACAAATAGTAAAATTTCTATTAAAATCTAGAAGCATTTCGGTATCTCATTGGAACACCTTTATCAGAAAGACAATTTTCAGGGATTACAAAACAGAATAAATAAAAATACTAAAAAAAATGAAATAAAAAAATATTTATATGATTATATGAAATAATGAAATATTTATATGTATATAATTTCCACCTATTTACAAAATATTTGTCCAGCATTAAAATATAATAATTGTCAGTTATATTTTGTGATTAAAAAATTTTTTAAAGTATAACCTCGCAAATATGCAACATTGTATTAATACTGAGCGACTTAAAAATGACTAAAAACTTTTTTAAAAAAATTTAAAAAAAGAATAATAAAAAGTGATACATGCACATTTTTCAAGTAAAAACTTTTTTTTTTCAACAAGTAACAGAACTTTTCCTCACATGATATTGCAATTGAAACAATTTATAAAATAATGTTTTCTAAATACCCTCAATTTGTAGTAACAATCTAAGGACAAAATCAACAGAATGACCTGATATGTAGTAGAAAGCAATGTTTTATAGTTTTAGCAATCATCAGCACCATCTGTTGATGATTTTTTAAAAATAAATTGTGAATTTGGTGACTATAAACACTGTGTGTGTGTTTTTCTTAAGTGGGCTGCAGCAATTCTACATTTGTTTTATTTCAATTCACTTTTCAAATTGTTGGTCATTTTTGGAGCTCTTAACAATAATTATAGTCATGTTTTTTGATAAAAAGTTGTCATAATAATGACTAATAATACTGACTTCAATTAAGTCCCACATGTAAACACAACCATCTTCAGATCCAGAAACTGCATGAGAATTTGTGTCATTGAGGAAACTTTCTTTCCTTTACCTCTCATTTTTATGGCCTGTGTGCCTAATTAAAAATGATACTCATTTATAATAATGGAAAAGAACTTTAACTAAAAAACTAAGTAAAAAAGTAATTTCTACATAATAATTGATACTACTATTCCTCACAGTTGCTCAAATGAAGAGTTCCTATATAAAACATAATTCGTGAGTTACAATAAGCAGCTTTAAAATTAGCAGGGTTGCAACTCAAATCTAGAAAAAAAGTTCCCCATGTTTTTCTTGTATTATACACAATATATTAAGATGAAACACAGACTCACTGTGCAAATGTGTACTATATTAGGATAATTAATAGTTTTAATTGCAGGAAAAACTTAATAAGGAAATAAGAAATAGATACATACATAAAAAAAATAATAATAGAGCAAATGAAATAGTATAGTATGGTTCAACTATCTTATATCTCATAGATTACACTTTGAGAGATCAACATTTTGTAAAAGAAGAAAATAAGAAGTTAATATTCCCTGCATTTTTCCAGTTTGGAAGGAAAAATTCAAAATTAGTTATTTTAGATTATTTTTTAATTCCCTGTGGAGCAGCAACCCTCATTAGGCAAAATTGGGACGAAGTTTCTCCCAAATCTTGCTTTCCACCATTAAAGATTTTCAGTTGCACTTCAATTTTGTATTGTCAGCAGTATTTAATACTGCTGACAATAATGTTTAATTTTTTTAGCCCTCTCCCCAACCAAGAGACACAACTATGCGAAAGTTGCATAAATTATTTATCAGCTAGCTCAGATCTTTTAATGAAGTGCCAAGTACAGCTATCATGCTTTTTTGAGAATCCACTAGTTGAAGTACTCTTGCTGATGAATTTATGCTAATGACTATGAGGTAAATATTTGTTTAGTTTCTTCTTAGTAAACTTTAGCTCTCAATCAATCAGGCACAGAAAATGTAACTCCAGCTACTCTAGTTAAATATAAGTATTTAGGATAAAATAATTTTAATTTTGCTTTAACTGGGTTTGAAACTTTAAGGAAAATAGTGAATTTGGATCTAAAACGAAGAACATAGTAGAACAGCACATTAAGTGACATTTTTTAACAACAAGTTATCCCTTTCGAGAGGATGTCTTTAAAAGAAATAATTAGAAACTATGGTTTTTTACTCTTTACAGAAATATAAGTTGACACTGAAGTGTTTTGCTATCGTGTCAGAAATTTATTTAAATGTGAAAGGGAGGGGAAAAAAATAGGTATGTGCAGTTCCTAAATTTTTACAAAAATATAAGCTGAAAATTAATGTACAGAAGGGTTTTACTATAAAAGTTAGTGCAAAAAATAATATATTGTTTATTTTTTTTCAACTAAAATATAAGGTAACAATTAATTAGGTTTATTGAAATCTTTAGTTCAAAAATAAAAAAATAAATAAAAACTTACGAGTTGTATACAGCCTACAAAATATATAAAATCTTGTTAATTCTTTACTGCAAGTTTACTTATTTGTATTATTTGTATGCTATCATAATTGTTATTTTTCCTTCTATAAAGCAGTTTTATTACAATAAAAGCACTCCTAAAGCCAGTATATTGGCCAAGGGATCTGCCCAGTTAAGGTGTAACAGTAGTATAATTATGTTAGTGTAACAGCTTTAATTTTTTTCAGGTATTTTAAAAGTCATATATTCCACAAATATTTAATTTGTTTGGCAAATATATTTAAATTTTTTTTATGCATAGCATAGTAATAAAAACCAAATAACAAATGTTAATATATTCCTTTTATTGACTATAGTTAATAAAGGTTAAAATGATTGTTAAAAACAGATAAGTATTTTTGATTTTTTACTTAAAGAGCAAGGAGGGTGTGGTCTTTAACAAATCCAGTATCATAAACTGTAAGAAACTGTTTAAATTTGCTAAAAACTAATTATGATAGTTACTATGTAAGTCTCAGGAATATATTTAGAATATTTATTAAAATACAGGTATACTCTAATGAATAAACATATACTATTAAATAATAACATAACTAAATATATTATGAATAATTATCTCAATGTAGAAAGTGTAGTTTTGAGCAAAAACAAAATTTCAGCTTATCTTCACATTCTTTTTAATATCTTATAAGAAAATTGTACTCTTCTAAAGAATTTTTTAAATCTTTATGTTGAGTTATTATTATTTTAATCTTCATATTATTAAAATCAGAATGTTTTATTTCATTTTTATATTTTGCAGCATTTTTTTCACAACAGAATTGACAAAATCAGAAAAAAAAGCTGTAAACAGCATAAATTTTTTATATTTTGTAATTAGTAATTTAACTCTTAAACTTAAGAGTTTTAATTTAACCTATTTAATTCTATGTAAAGGAATGATGGCATATATGATTGTTAGAATGTTTAAGGTACTTTTCAATATTTAAAATGTGTTATTAAAAGTAACTTAACAATTACAGAGCTTCCAGCAAGCAGACTTTTTGTGAGCATATAGCATTCATATATAAAGTACATTTATGTATCAAAAGGATATTTTTTTTCTGAGAAATTTACTTTTCAACGTAAGTTTAATCTGCACAAGAAAAGTGGTAACTGAATACTTAAATACATAAAATTACTTCAATGAGCTAAATTTAGGTGANACTTGCCAAGAAATGAAATATAAGTAAACCTACTCAATATCTAAAGTAGTTTTAGAGTTAAAAGTTAGCAAAGTTAAAATAAATAATGATAATTACTCAGAACGCACTTCACCCTTCGTTATCTGTAAGTCGCAAAGTATTGTCTAAACAGCTAGCAAGAACACACAGGCATCTTTTGTGAAGCTAACACAGTTGACTGAACCTAAAAAATATAACAACAAAATTTTTAGATCATTGTAAAATTATTTAATGGAAATAATCATCTTAACAACAAAGATCATGATATTTAATGGCCTGAGTAAAACATATGTAGTTATTAAAATTTATTTTTACATACATAAATATATATATTTATTAGGTACAATTAAAAATAATAAAACAATTTTCCCAGTCACAAAATCAATAAAAATGTTAATATAAGTGTTAATACAAGGGAGAAATATATGTGAAAAAAAAACAAAAAATACACACTTAAGACTATTTGCTTTATATTTAACTAGAAAATAATACAAAATTTAAATTAATAGATTTTCTATGCCTTTCTGGAATAAAATGAAAATAATTGGTTAATTCTAACTCATGCGTATTCACACTTTGAAAAAACTGTAAAAATATTCATAGGGGGAAAAAAAGTTCTGAAGCTATTTATCATGAACTAGCTGAATGCCCATTTTTTGTACAGAGTGAAATAAAGTAAGTCATCACTTTATCAGTATTGAAACAGTCTATTGATTGAGTAAATTCAATTGATTAGTCATTAGTTCAATTATTTTCTAAATAATGTTCTTGTGCAGCTTTTTCTATGAAGCATTATGCAACATTTTCAAGAAAAACATATTTCATATGATCAATGATTTTTATTAAACCAGGCATAGAGACATACATATGTTATTAGTAGGTCCTAAGAATTATGGTTTCTAGTCAACAGTGGCAATCAATAAATTTTGAGTGATTATATTTTCAGCGTATCAATTACGATCAATCATTTTTAATAAAAAAGTATGTAAAAAAAAGTTTTTCAATTGAATTAAAACGTAATTTATTTAATAAATTTTTTTTTTGCCATTTTCACAATCACTAGAGAAAAATCCTATTTATCCTTCTCTTTACACTGACAAATTCCTCGACTCTTTCAAATTCCAGACTCTGACAAATTCCAGACTCTTGAAATTCCTCGAACTTGTAATTCTGAATTTTGTTATAATATCCTGTTAAAAAAATTCAGGGTATTGGTTACATTTTAGATTTTCAAATTCATGACTTTTCATAACTTTCCATGACTAATTCCAATAATTTTTCATGACTTTCTGAGGTTACTATGTTCTCCAACAAAAATACAAATATAAACTTAAAGAAGCATTATAATAACATTAATTGAAATGATAGGTATAACCAAAACTGTTATACTCTGCATCTTCATATTTAAAGATTTTAAATTTAAAAAGTAGAGTAAAGAAAGATTTGAAGCAATAAAATAGCTGAAAAAAAATACAGAAGCAAATAATATTTTTTTTCTGCAGAATTATATTCGAAAGATACTTTTCTTGCTCATCGGAAAGGAAAGAAACTTCTGGTTTTTCTGTTCTCATTTCAAATAAAAAAATTCGCTATTGACTGGCTTGCTTCAGCTAGAATTTGAAATTGATTAAAATATAAATAAACAATAAAAAAAATTCTGAAATCTCAGAAGCTTAAAGGATAATTCGCTCTAGAAGTGCTGTTTTTTTTTTCCTTCATTTTTTGAAAAAACACCATAATATTTAAAGAACATGATAAAAACATTTTATATTTTAATAAAATATGACTGTGAGTGAGGATTTTGTAACAAATTCAGATGTTCAAAATACAATGATATTTGGGGGGGGGGGTTGAATTCCATTTTAAAAATTAGATTTTTCGGTGACCCAAATCCACGACTTTCCATGATTTTTTCTTAAAAAATAGTAAAAATTATGACATTTCATGACAAATTTTGTTTAATACCGAAATTTATGACTTTCCATGATTTCGCATGACTTTCCAGGTGTGCAGATACCCTGAAAATAGGATTTAAGAAGTTGTGTTGAAATCCATAAAAATAACTGCACAATTGCAATCAAAAAACCATATGGGTTTATAATTCCCACATTTTTATTTACGTATTTATTCTCTCAATTTTTATTTATTTATTTTATTTTTCCGACACACTGTCGTAATATTTATCATAATGATTACCAGACATGAGCTTCACAGTGGATAAGGTAAGACAGGTGCATGGGTGAGTCTAAACCTGACGACCCTTTCATACGCTTTCAAAAACTAAAATATTTTTTCTTCTTCAAATAATGTATTTTTTGTACGAAAATCATAAACTAATCTTTTCTTTTACTCCTTAATCATCAATGTTTCCTGTTATGTTGTCTTTCTGGCTTGAGTTTTGTGGAACTAAATTTGTTTGAAGAAGAACAGATACAGCTTGAAGAAAATTTACAATATTTATAACTGCTGTGGTCCTTTCTACTATCTTTAAAAAGATTTATTATAATAAAATAAGGTAAAATTCATATTTTTGTCTCAGGAAAGCATTGTACTTGCAACAGCATTTATTATTTAATATGTGTTTCAAGATTTACATATTTTCTTTTTTAAAATTTCATTTTAACTAAAAAAAATTCATATTTCTCAAAATTTATTTGATACACACTCGCTAACAAAAAAAAAATGTTTTTAGAATAGATAGTGAAGATAGAATTCATGTAAAAGTTTTCTTCAACTTTTAAAACTCGCATTGTTCGAAAATGATTCAATATTATAATAAATGTTTCGAACTGAACTTGACTTTTTAAACTTTTTCTGACTTCTTGACTTTTTAAACTTTTGCTTTATTAAAAGTATTTTGTGAAACTACCGTTTTTCCTAAAGTTGAATTTGTGAAGGTACCGCTTAATGTTAGTAAATATACCCTGGACAGACCCCGGGTAAATCACAAAAGGAATTTTTGTATCAGTACCTTTTCACACTAGTTACGATTGAAAATGCGTCCTAATTTGTTAAAATCTGGGTAGAGGTTTGCCCAGACATGGTTAAATTAATGTGATACAAAATAATTAATGTTAGGAAACATCCTTTTTTATCCAAGGGAAATTAATTAAAAATCTTTAACTCATTTATTCAAATCAAAACATTTGTTAATACGTAAATATCTCAAAATAACATTGCCTATTGTGTTCTTAATCAGAAGTATCTATTGATTTAAGAATTTTCTTAAATAAAACAGTTTATTAAAGAAAATTAGAATTGAAAATTATTTCATTAATCTTAAGATTAAGGAATCTATTTTTAGAAAGTATATGCATGTTTTTTCTTTTCTTTTTTTTTAATTATTATTTCAAGAAATCATTATCTTTCAAAATCTTTCTTAAATAAAATTAATGCCTTATTTTTAAGCTCAACTTATAATAAGTAATAAAAGTATGTGCAAATGTACAATAAATGTAAATATAAATAGTAGCATGCCAAACGTTCAGATAAATTATAAATCAATATTGATTTATAAGTTCTAATTTTAACCAAAATACTATATAAAGATGTTTTGATTCTTATTTTTGTTAAACCTGTTCAGTGCTAAAGTTACAGAGCTTACAAATTTTAATTTGTTTTTAACATTTTATTATAAACTAAACAAAATTATACAGCTTTTAAATCATCAATAAATTTTATCACAAACTACTCTTTATATACAAAATGTACTTTCAGCTGACATAGTTTTTACAACTTCATTATTTTATTTTTGTATTATAACATTTTACAAAATTGGCAAAAATTATAAATTGAATTTTAAATGTAATATGGAAATCAATACAGTATAAATTAAGCATTATATGTGTGGTAAATTAGTTTTAGCCATTTAAGTAATTGTTTCTTTATTCAAATATCTCGAAGTTAATTTTTATTTCTATTTTTTGTTTCAAATATATTTACTTAAAAATTCGAATTCTATTTAAAAAATTTTTAATTATTGCACAATTATTTATTGTAAGATTATTTTCATCTATTGAAAATTAAATAAAATCAAATAATTATTAAATTAGTATTTGATATTTTTAATTTAAACATAATTTTATAATAAATTTAAAAAACATTTAAATTATTTCAGCAAACTCTTATAACTCCAAAAGTAAATAAAAACAAAACATCTGCTTATTTCGTATGAAAAGATTCTTTTATTTATTTTTGTTTTCTATATTTTATTAAGATAAATTAGTTTCTTTTTTGAGTTAATTTTTTAGGATGATTTTCAAGGAGGCTTTGAAACTTCACTGGTGTTGTCAGGTGACCATTTATTTTTTTCAGCTTTTAATATGTATGGACAAGTCCTAATATAAAACAATAAATTTTTAAGTGTTTTGTGTATAGCCACAAAGTTCCCAATTTGTATTTTGATTTATAAAAAGTATTTTACCTTTAAAAAGATATTTTTTATTAAGAAAAAATAAGGCTTATACGCAATTATAAAAAAATTGTTTCAATCAGATTTAGTCCCCAGTAAAATGTTGTCATTATACATCCTTGGTATTTTTGCGTTTTCTTTTGAATTTCACTTTAAATTTTGTGAGTGGTAAATTTATATCCAATTAAAGTGTTTTGTTTCTTAGCATCGTGATTATTCCTAATTTTACTATTTTTTACTGTCCATTAAAATTCATTTCATAATTTTCTTGATGGTCTAATCCATAAAAATTTAATGTTAGTAGCAGGGTTGGCAAATTTTTGACACATGACGGTTTTTACCGGTTTATACCATGGTTTTTACCGTCATGTCAAAAATGTCGAAAACTGTCAAAAACCCATAGTTTTGTTAAAACTGTATTTTAATTTGAGTTCAACTGCTTATGATTTAAAATTAATTCATTTTTGGGCAATAAAATTAAAAAAAAAGTTGCTAAAAATATTTAAGAACAGATTTTTGCATTTTCCTAACAAGATTATATCAAATCATACTATTTGAAGTAAAATATTAGGGTACTAAACAAAATTTTCAACATTTCCAAGCATCATTTTGTTTGGCATAATACATTACTGAAGAATGTCTAGTCATTTCTGACTTAGAATTTGTTAGCAGTTACAAGTTTTGAAAGTTTTGTTTAGCTTATTTCTAATATTTAAGAAATTCCAAATTTTAAATTCTTCTTTTTAGTTCTTGAATTTATTAATAGTTCCAAGTTTTTTTCTTTATTTCTAACAATTAAGATGTGCAAAATTTTGAATCCTTTGCAAATCAAGCTATAATGATAAAAGTTAAGTATCACTATTTTCAATATGTATGTTACAATATTTCTGTATGAATGTATATCCTTCTATAAGAATACATGTATATAGTTGCAAAATCAATAGCAATCATTTACGACAATATGTTATTTTCACTTAATTGCCTTTAGGCAATTAAGTGAAAATAACATATTGTCCGCTATATGCCATAAATTAACGAAAACAGTAGGTTTTTGACGGTTTTTACCGGTAAAAACATGGTTTTTATCACTGTCATGTCAAAAACCAGTTTTTGACGGCAAAAACCCAACCTTGGTTAGTAGATTCAAGTCTGGACTCATGAAATGTGATTACATGGCAGTAAATAAAATTAAACTGTCATACATATTTTCAGTTTTAAAATTACAATTTCAAATGATTTTATACTTTTTACAACCTATTTTAATATTTAATTAGAATTAGAAATTAATTTAAAAGCATTATAAATAAAAGTTTGAATTTAAAGTTGAAAAACTATTAAAAAAGATCGGCAACATAATATTCACGCAAACAAAGAAAGATTTTGTTTTCTATGACAGTGATTATAAATAGATGCAGTACAGCTTACATCCACAACATCTAGTGATTTTAACTTCAGTTACACGAACGTATTAAAAAATAAAATGTAATCTTCAATACCAAAAATGGATGATTTTATAATAATTTATTTGAATTGCCTGACATACATGAGTAGAAAAAGCCAGACATACAATTACTATGTTCTAAAATAAACAGTTTTTTATTTATTGAACCCACACAATTTTAACATAAATGAGTGTAAAATATTCAAGGCATTATATTTTTTCAATTTAAAATAATTTATTTTAAATTGAAATTATTAAAATAATTTAAATATATTTTTTAATTTAATATTAAAAAATCACAGAATAATAAAGACAAATGAAGAAAAACAGACTCCATAAATATAAACTAAAATACTAAAGGTATGTTTTAGTACAAACAGTTTGAAGAATAAAGAATAAAATAACTTTTTTATCATTTAATTTAATTATAATGGAGATTAAAATTTAACAATATTCTTATTGACATATTGCAGCATTATATAAATAAGAAAAAAATATACTTTAGATAATATTAAAAATGTAATTAGGAAATTACAATAAGGAATATAAGCATATACTGTATAAGTACAATACTGATTTATTTACACTGGTGATGGAAACAATTGATACTTTCTTCTGTAGCAAAGTAGTGTGTTTAACAAGTAGATAAAAATAAACTTTGGGAACTATTTCAATAATTACATTACTTAACTAATTTTAAAAACTACAAGAACATGGAATGTCTATTTTATTTTAAATTTTTTTTAGAGACATTGACTTGATCTTAAATTTGTTTGCGTTATTTTACATCAGGTATAGCAAATTTCTCCCAGTGATGAAAAAAAAAACCCTCAAAGAAATAGATTTCTTCCATCCTAAGTGGAAAAAACTTTTTTCCAAACAGAAATATGAAATATATAAAGAGTTTCTTTTTCTGAACAGTTTATAACTGCAATTTAGTTTGAATAATAATGTTAATTTTTCTGGTTTTAATAACCTATCATTTTATACATAAGTAAAAACGAAAAGCAGAAAAAAAATCTAAGAGTTTCTCATGAATTTCTAATGAAATTAAGGGTAGCTAGCTTATCATTGCTATTTTATTTCAAAGAATATATTAAATTGTAATTTTATATTTAAAGAACAATCAAAATAACATAACTGAATTTTATTAACACTACTAAATCAATAAATCACATACTGAACATAGATACAATTAAAAGCCCATATTGAATTCTCAATTACAAATAGCTTATTTTCATAATTAAATGTTAATTATGAATACTCAAACCTAATGATAAACTTTCTGTTACTATAAATTTAATTTGTTTTAGTTATAATACCTATTATTGAGCAATTGTATTAGTCATTTTTATTTCATTCCATTTTATCCAGTTTCTTCCTGTCCTGTAAGAAATAAGTTTCTTCTGAACAAAATGCTGCCATTTAACATGGATGATTTTGTGGCAAATCATTTCTATGTAAACATTAAAAAACTGTTGATTTATGTTTATTTGAAATTGTACAAATTCCCAAAAGCAAGAAAGCTGAAAATTATAAAGTATGTAAGAAAACTTTTTTTTTCTATTTTGTTACAATCAAACTGGGAGTATTTATACGAATAATAGAAAATTTAATTATATATATATATATTTTTTTTTAATCTTTATTTTCAAGAAGACAATTTTAATTTGAAAGAATACTTTTTTTGCAAAATTATAATTCAATAATTAATTGAAATTTAAAAAAAATTAATTTAATAGTTTTATTTTATCCGAATGGTATTAATAAAAAAATTGTAATACATCCTCTTCTAGGAGCAGGGATAAAATATTATGTTAGCATTGTGTCTTATTGTTCATGACATTAATATTTTTTTCTTTTTTAAGATTTAGATTTATTTTCTTTTTAATATAAAGCTATTACTAGTACACCCTTTGCCGGACAGCTTAATACTGCTGAAGTACTGCTTATTTAATGATTTTTATATTAATTGATTCACTCTAATAGCATTCCCTTCATCCTATAAGAACTATGTATATATATATATAATTGTACTTAAAATACCACAATCAACAGACCTGAGATAAACATTAAATTCAACTTAAACAATCTATACTCAGTTTGTCTTCTGTATTGCTCAGAAGTTATGTACATACACTAAGTTTTTGTAGAAAAGGTCATATAATTAAAATTAAATAAGTAAATAATTGATTTAAAGAAAGGAAAAACTTTAGTTAATACCCCTCCCCTAAAAAGTTTTATTTAGGCAAAGTGGAAAACAGATTCTGAAAACTTTTAAAAACAAATCCAGTTTTTTTTCTTTTTTCAAGGGGTTAAAAGCCTTGATACATACAAGAAAATAATAATTTTTGATCTTAACTTTCTTTTAAAAAATACTATTTTCATATTATTAATTTTATTATGTATATTACTAAAATCTATCACCTATTGTAAAATTTTATTTTTTAATGTGATTTATGTTATACCTATTTTTCTCCCAAATAAATATGTACTACAAAGAAAATTCTATAGATATTTTTATGGTTTTTTAAAAAACTACAGTTTTAATTTCTTAAGAAAATCTATAAATTTATTTTCCCTTCCAATTGAGACTTTTTATGTTTCCTTTATTTTGAAATAATGTAATAAATAACCTGTAAAATAACTATTAACTTCTATTACAATAAACTGAATTGCAATAACACGTTTATAATAAAATGAACTGCTTTAATATTTGATGATAATGCTTTTTTAAGAGTATTTTATATTTCTTTCGCATAGCTGGAAGAGATATAATTCCTCCAAGGCTTCTATTTTTAGTTTCTAAGTGGCATTTTTAAGAATTTATATACAATTAACTTTACAAAGTATGGTACAATGGGAAGCTGTTTACAAAACTTATTTTCTCATGAAATGACTTATCTAAAAACGTGGCAGAATTTTTTTTATTCGATATACATATAGAGTTGCCACAGTTGCTNACTTTACAAAGTATGGTACAATAGGAAGCTGTTTACAAAACTTATTTTCTCATAAAATGACTTATCTAAAAACGTGGCAGAAAAAATTTAATTCGATATACATATAGAGTTGCCACAGTTGCTATTCACAACTATTTTTGACATGAGGAGACTTTTTTTGCCTGGAAAAGCAACTATTGTCAGAAAAAGAAGACTATTTGGAGACTTTTCTGTGCTCCTAGTGATGTTTTTTTTTAAAAAAAACATAAATTGGGTTGACAACCTATGGCCCATGGTAACTTCTTTATTTTACTAAGATCCTTATTTATGATGCATTAGTAAACTATGATTACTTCATTATATTTTTCTGGAAAGTTTTTTCTTAAATTACTGATTATAACATTTTTTTGCAATTACTTTAGTTTTTTAATTGTGCATTATGTTTTTCTAGATGCTGATCTTGTATTTTAATACAGAAAACCCTTCATATTTATATTTGAAAATACAGAACTATTTGTTAAATAAATGTATTTTATTTTCAGTTATGTTTAATATTTTGCAATGAAGCAATTTATTTAAAGAAAATTGCAATTTTTTGAAATTTACATAATAAAAAGTGATGTATTAATTTAGTTACTTCTTTTAATGTGACTTTGATAGATAATAGTAGGAGTTATTAAAATTTCTCTTAAAAAGAGGGTTGCAGCTAAACCTAACATCTGTTGTCAGTCGGAAAAAAAATGATTGCTCTAATTTATTTTTAATAATTTATTATAAATATTTTATATATTTTTAACAATTAATTATAAAAGTTTCATAGGATTGTTAAAGCAAAAAGTATCTTGAATAAATTACTGATAATTACATAATTACGGACACATAACTGATTTTAAGACTATTTTTTACTGATAACTGATTTTAAGTTCTATTTTTTTTCTTTTGAAAATAAACCTATTCTTTCTTTCAGTATATAAATACATTTAAATACTTTTTGAAAAATTTTTTTACTTAGAGCTACTAATTATAAATGAGCAGTCTTTTGTATATCAATAAAAATATTTCTTTAATACTTAGAGTAATTGAAGTGGATGAACCAAGTTCTTGTAATCAACTTTTTTTTATTATAGTATTTCTTTTCAAATAAATTATAACTATATCTATAAGTATCAGTAACAGGAAATGCATTGAATTATAATGTAGTTCAAAAGTACTTACCAAGATAAAAAGTTCTCTCTATCTCAACAATTTTCTTCCACTGTTACTTATATGCCAGAATTTGAAAATTTTCAAAGGACTTTTCGCTGACAAAACTGTAAAAATTTACAACAATAAAAAAATATTTAAGAATGATAGCACACTAAATTTTCAAATAAGAATTTTTCATGCATGATATTTCTGAAATTTAACTCCAATCACTTAATCAGAGAATAGATCTGTTTTAGTTAGCGGTATGAAATATTGTTACTTTCATATCAATATAAATTTATAATTATTTAATGTTCTGTAAAGACTTCTCTAAACATGTATCTTCAGAATCTACTAAAAATGAAAATAAAAAAGTAAACACAATCGGAGTCGTAAATTAATGTTTTAGTGTGGAAAAATAAAGGACTATCAAAATTTTACAAACCATGATGTAGGAAGATGGATGTAACAAACAAAACAGGTTCAGTTGCAGGTTGAAAGGACCTGGAATCCAACCTGTCTTGTTTATTATATCAGTCTCAATGTACTGTGCTTTGTCAGTTTTTAATAGCGTTTCTTTCCGCCCTAAACACTGTGTTGCTGGAATATATATATGTATATTAAAAAGTCAGAAAGCAATATATATATATAATCGTGTGAGCTGATAAAGATATATTTTCTCTATATTTTTAACTTACTTATTTGTTATATATATACATATTACTAATTGCATTTTAATATCAAGAGAACAAAAATATTTAAAATATATTTTGAGCTCTGATACAGACAATGATGTCCTAGAATCTTTTGTGTATCTAAAAATNAAAAGTTTCTTTTAGGCATGCCAAAACAATTAAAAGAATTCACCTTGATTAGGAAACATAGCACCTGAGAAACTTTAGTTCGAACATCTTAATACGAAGTCAGAACACACTGTGAAAGATTTGTTTAATGGAGTGACACTAGTTGACAATTGAAAAATTTTACAAGATAAAAAATTTCTATGTATGAAAAAATTTGCTAGGATCTACATACATTTGCAAGCAAAGATTTACTGGCTTGAAGACCGTTTAACAAGAGTAAAATTAGACAGATATCAACAAGCAATCTCACTACTGATTTCAATAACACTATAAGAAAGTGTAATAGACTTGTCTTATTAAAATTATTATAAAATTAAATGTGTTTGAAGTTATAAGTAATATAGTTACGGTATCTTAATTATATAAGTATATATATCTTAGTAATTGTCACTGGTTTATTAAATAGGTCGCACGATTCCCACAAAGAGCAAAGGGAAAATGTCTTACTATTAATTAATGCATACTTGAAAATATGTATATATATATGAAAATATATATGTAATATATATATTACACTGGAAAAATAAAAAAATCATGAAATATTCATGTGTTAATTATTTAAACATTTACCATTCCAATTTCAAAGTTCAATTGAAAACTTACAACTCAAATTATCTTGACTTAATAGTCCTTTTGAACCTTCCTATTTAACAATGAAATTTTTGCTCATTTCATTATAAAATTCAAAGATAGATACAATAAAATGTATTTATTTTTACAACAAGAAGACAAATAAGATATTTCATACTCTAATACAAAGATGTCCTTTGTATCATGCATACAAGACTTTATAACAGAAATTTCATTTTAAAAAGTAGAAACTCATTTCATTTTAATGTGTTTCAAAAGAATAATTTAAAACTTTAAGATAAAATGCTTATTTTTTTCCAAGGTCAATTAATTCATCTTATTAATTCATCTTAAATTGATTATATAAAACACATTTTACTTAGGCTTGGCAAATACCTAGTACAGAGTGTGTAGCACTCTGTACTAGGTATATAATACATGAATACATAGCACTCTGTATTATGTACAAGGTATATTAAAAATAAGCACCTTTTAAGCATTCAAAAAAAATCATCACTCATCAACAAAAAAAAATCATAATTAGGATATGTACAGAAATAAAAATTATTTCTTCCTATTGTTTAAAGTTCTTCATTTATATAATCAACAAAATGCAAAGTTATTTTCAAAGACTTTAGATAATCATGATAAAATAACAAGTTACTGATATATATAGCAGAATTTTTTTTTAAAAATCAAGCTTCTTTTTGTAATTTAAGATGATTGACACAGCAAAAAAAAAATCTTTATTTGAAAGAAGGACAATTAAGCACTTTTTACAAACCCTCAATGGAAAAAGCCCATTTAAAGGCTTTTAAAAAACGTAAATCATTTTATAAGAATGCTACACACCATGTAGTATTTAAAATATGGCCACCAAAGAATTCTTTATAAAAAGTATTTTTAATAGGAATAAATTTGAAAAACTTGAAGTAACCTTGAATCTTATTTTAAAATAATTCCTTATGAGTAAAACTATACACAAATAGCAAAAAAAGGAGAGGGCAATACTAGACTAAAGCAAAACAATGTGGATCAAGCACAAATGAAAATGTATTTTCATATTTGAGCTTTATTTACTCACATGTTTTTTTCCTCTTTTCGTTCTTTAGTAATGCCCAAATAATTTATTTAAATTAGCATACAAAGAAAATATGCTTAAAAATAAAATTTTTGTCAACTTTAAATTTCAAAGTACTTCCCCAGTAATGGCTTCACATAAGTTCTGGTCTTTCAAGTCCTACCTTCTTCAGTAGTGATTCATTACATTTATATATATTTGTTTTATTCTCATTTAAATTTTAATTTACAACCACTAAATGTTTAAACTTTTTTGAGAAAGGTTTAAAATATATGCACTAAAGGTGATCAATTTCAAATACTCTGTACATACATTTACATATATAAGTACAGAAAATATTTCTTTTGAGCCAAGTTTAAAATTAAATAGTCCCAAAGTAACAAATTGTTTGTGATACTTTGTTGTTTCTAATAAAATTAATTAAATTGATTTAACAAAATTTTAAAAAAATAATAATAAAGAAAAGGAAACTGAAAGCAAGAAAAATAGCCTTTAAATTCATTATTTCATTAATTTGTCCATTCAAAAACCAACAGCAAAAATAAGATAAATCACCTGAATTGGCTCGCAAGATTTGCTACGGCAATCCCAAGCACAATATACTTACTTTGTTTATAAAAAAATGGGGGAACATAATTTAAAAGTGTAAGTAGAAATAAGACAATTGACAGTAAAACATAACTTCCAGATCCCCCCTTTTTTTTTAACATACAAATGACATACAAAATGACATAAAATGGAGATTTTGTGTGTGCACATCTAACTTAGAATTGTTTGTACTAGCGTCCTGAAATTTGAAAAGCGGCTGCAAAGGACAATTTTTGCCTCCTTTCCTAAAAATCACTAAGTATTTTTAATTAGCAGATGAAAAGTTAGTGGCTTATTTCATGTTTTTTTTTTTTTTTTTTTTTTTTTTTTTTTTTTTTTTTTTTTTTTTTTTTTTTNTAAACATTTTATAATAAATTCTTACAACACATTTCCGGATAAACTTTGTATAAAATAAACATAATATCCTAAAAATTTACTGGAACTACAACAACTTGATTCTTATAAGTTACACAAAATATTTTATTTTTTACTTTTTCGCAGAAGAAACATAAAATTTTTGTTTTTAAATAATTTTATCTTGAGTTATATCCTCCATTTTACATAGAAAATGAAGCATGCAAACAATGTTTAAATTTCTGGATGTCCCATTGCTAAAGAAATATATAAATAAATAAAAAGTTTTTAGTTTGACACTTCCAGAGCAGGACACTGGTGTGAGACCTTCACTGGCTGTGATCGAAAAAAAATATAACATTAAGTTATAGCTTACATAGTACTACAGTTAAAATCACTGCAATGTGTTAAAAAGCTATAAGCTCATAATTTTGCAGTATAAAGCTCAAAAAATTTTATAAGTATCTTCATAAAGTAAACAAATACAAATGACTGCTGTGGAAACCGTAACAAATTTTATACTTGCCTTTGGCTTTTAAGCCGTAGTTATATAATTGAGCTCATAAGCATGCAAATAAGTGAAACAAACAACAAAATGAATAATAATTGTGGTAAAGGCAGCTTTAATGGCAAAAGCGAACCACTTTATTATGGACTTCACAAAAGCGGAAACAGGAAGATTTGTTTCAGTGCGGAAAAGGTAATTTTGAACATGGGTCCAAAAATTTTCGCCGACAAATGTTGTAAGACTAAACACTGTACAACTCGTCTGCTTCCTTTTCTCCAAAATTATAACTATTCATTTCTTTTTGAATGTCAATGTAATAAGTAGATTTATATCAGAGCAAATCTTGAACTCCTGTCTATTCATGATCTTGAGTACATTTTAGAATTTTTGAGCTTTATTCTTGTGAAAAATAAAATCTTGTGATTTATTTCATGTTTAGTAATTTTTGATCCAAATGGAGTTATATAAAATTTCTAAGAAGCATATTAAAGTATCAAATTAATTTAAATATCAATAGTAGTTGAAACTATTGTTACAGCTTTATTTTACTCTATTTGTTTCTTTCTTACAGATCAACCTTTCATCAATCCTTTGTTCGATTAGCTATTTTTCAAAGTAGTAAAATTTCCTTGATTTTCTTTTTTCTTTTATCCCTTTATACTGTTTCAAATTTTAATAAATTTTTTCTTTTGTTTAGAAAGATTTTCCTGCAACACTAATATGTATGATGTATTTATGTATGATTGTAATATGCTTGGATGTAATCAAAATTTTTTATTTATTTAATGATTGATTATTATACACAATTTTATTCTGTACATATCAGCAACAAAACTTTTTTTGTTTCTTTTTACAGTGGATAAAAAGAATTAATTTAAGCAATTTATGGCCCATCTAACTTAAAGGCTTAGGCCGAGTTACTTACTATTAACTTAAAATGACTGTTTTTTAAACTTCAAAGTTAATGTGTCATTTTCTGGCAGTCAAGATTTGGTGAATTTCCATTTTTTTTTTCCTCGAGCAAATGTCAATAAACTACACTGCTGTCTGTAAGATATTATTAATAAGTGTAGCTAAAGAAGTATACAAAAAAAAATTTAAGATTATTTTGAAGACTTTAAATTTGAATAAATTTTTTGGTCCAAATTGTCATGTTTCGTGAGAATCACCCATATATATATATATATATATAACCTTTACAAATTAATGTTTCAATTTCCATGGGTATTAAAAATTAAATATATTAAATTGTATAATTAAATTTTTGTATCATAAGTATTTATCATTATATAATGATAAATACTATATTGTGGTATATGATAATATTATATATGATAATATTATATTATATGATAATATTATTATATATATGATAATATTATATTATTCAAACAAAATAAAGAATAAAATATTTTTCAAATAATATGGAAAAAATGGAATATTATTTTAATAACATCGTTTATAAAACGATAATATCGTTTATGCTCTACAAAAAATATGAATATTTTTCAATTATAAATAAAACAAATAAATTGCTAAAATAAAGTTTTCAGTATATTAAAATAAAATTTAGGGTAAAATTCAAATTTGGCCAGCCGCAGTATATGAAACTGTTATTTTATAAAATCATAATCACAAAATAAAAAATTGTAGTCATTTTATAACGACTGCATGAACGAATAATGATTTGGAACAATTGCGAAACATATCCTAATTCAAAATCTTAAATTACTATTTTTTTTTTCAAATTGCTAATGATTGATAATAAGTAGCACACTTAATAATTTATGCAAATGAAAGAAAAATATTCTACTTACAAATAATTTCTTACTAACGCGAGCTTGTCACACCTCCAAAAGTTCAAAGTTCTATGACTGAACATCGAAAATCGTCTGCAGACAAAGGCATTTGAAAACGATATTCCCATCAGGTCTTACCAAGTCTTTAAACTGCCATACCAAAAAACTCGTTAATTAGTGGATTAGAATCATAAAAAACGAAGGAATACGCTTCCATTGAAAAAAAAATGGTGCAGTTTCTTTTTCAATTGTATCTTCACTTTCTTAAGTGAGAATACCTCCATTACTTGGAACATTTAAGGGTGAAAGGACTACCATGGGTGACGATTAGCAATTTTTATGTGGCAACGGGCTCGTTTGGAGCTATCTATTCAAGTTTTTTTTTTTTTTTTGTATCCTTCTCTGCGTTACACTACATTAGAAAGGATTAGCCAAATACTTAGTTGAAAATTCCTTTGAATATTTTTTTTTCTTTTTGAAAGTTTTATGTTATTTCCCCATACTAGCCAGAAAAGCATAAGACGCTAATACTTTTTCATCCACTTTCATTTATATTAGGCCAAAAAAAATAGTTAACTCTATAATTCCCACATTAACATTATAAATAACTCTTAAAACTTATCATTACTCAAACTAAGTTTAAGCGATTTCTTAACATTTGCGTTAGAATAAGTGTTCTGAGTGCTATATTCTTCACGAGGGCCAATTTTTTTTACACTGCTTCGTAAAATAGTTATCTCAAAGTTGGAAAGTTTCGGCTAAAAAATTGGCAACTAAATATCCGTCGTAAATCCGATGGAGTTCATAAAGTAAAATTAAATCTTCGTAATTTCTATACGAATAAAATATATTTTAAAGGTTTTGATGCTACACTATTATGCACTGAAAAGGAGCACAACCTCAAAAGCGAGTTTGTCCCACTACTCGTCTTCTGAATTAATTCCATAAGAAAGTTACGGGGTTAAAAGTTTTCAAGATCGGTGGCGCAAAGTCAGTCATAAAAAAGCATAAAATCTTTCAATACATAATTTCTGTATGAGAAAAAATGGTGCAATGAGTTAACCTGCTGTAAAAACGTTATTTTGGAGAAAGNATTTCTTTTTTTTTTCCATCTCTGCAATAAGCTTAAAACATCAGATCAGTTATAGTCAGATTTAGTAATAATTAAAAATTTGTCAAAGAGAGCTGCAGAGCAAATAAAAAGAAAGCTGTTTCGAATTTATTTAATTTTTCTTGATGTTTTTTTTAAAATTCTATTCCAGATATTATTCTTTATCTTATTCTAGTTACCTATTAACCGAAAATTTAACTGTTTCTTTAACATTTCTTTGAATATGCTTTTATAAATGTTTTTTCTCAAAAGTATGGTTGAGAATGGATTATCCAAAGCAGTCTTGTTAATTATGCTCAGGTAAATTAAAAACTGAAATTCAGGGTTCGCACAGACTCCTTATACTCCTTGGATATAAAAAGTTTGTAAAGAATACTTGGAACTACTTAGATTTCCAAATTAGTCCTTTAAAACTCCTTAGATTGTTGCGTTGCATAGATGAGCTTACTAAGTCCGCTGATGAATTTGCTGTTCAAGCAGGGAAACAAAATGATATGACTTAGCTGTCAAAATCTAATTGTTTAAGAAAAACTGAAAAGGAAGAAAAACTGAATTGCTAGAGTTAGAAGGAAAAAAATAACAGCAAATAATTTTTATTTTACATGTTACAAGCAAACTTAATGATTTAGTGTGAAATTTTTTTTTTATATAAAATGTCTTAGATTTTCTTAAGTATTCAATTTTAAAAATATAAGATCGGAAAATTTTTGTGTTAATCTTTAACATCTCTACTATGTACTTTAACAAGATTTATTAAAATATTTGAAACTGGAAAATGTATTTATTTATGTGTAAAAGTGATAACTTTATTTATTTTTCTTGATTAAGTTTGGCAAAGTAAAAATTTATTTTAAAAGGGCTAGAAAAAAATATCTTATGCAAAATATACATTTTTGCGAGTTCTTTATAGTAACTACTTTTTTGATCTTAAAAGAAAACTGTAGGGTTATCTTTCACACAAAGGTTTTAAATTTTGAACTCCTTGGATTTCTTTTTCTGATCTCTGTATGAACCCTGATATATATACATACCGTATATTCCGGCGTATAACGCACACTTTTAATACAAAAAATAACATTGGAATTTACAGGTGTGCGGTATACGCGGAATATAAAAAATTATAGATTTAAAAAATTTAACTATAAAAAAATACTTTTATTTTAAAGAAATAACATACCTTTACCCTATATACTTTATTGATTTTCGTTATTACATAAATAGTTCATTATATTCGTCTTCATCATCTGTGTTACCCTCATTCATAAATAAACAGTCATCTTCTGATCCGTCCAGATTATTTGAAATGCTGCATTTTTTTAATGATTTTCTAACCATCTCATGCTTAATTTCATCCCATGCTTTTATTATCCATATGCACACTGTTTTCAAACTTGCATGAGGCATATGTCCTCCTTTGGTAAAGGTTTTCTCGCTCTCCAACATCGAAGTGTTCCACTGTTTTTTTAAATTGGCTTTAAATAATTTGTTTAAGCAGACGTCTAATGGTGTCAATCTGCCCGGAATAACTGCCATATCGGTGTTACATTCTTTCAACAATTTTTTTGTATTATCTGTAAGGTGGGACCTAAACATGCCCTACACTAAAGATATTTTTTACCCACAATTTAACACCTTTTTCGTCCATCCAGCCTTTTTTGTGGACATGAACAAAAATTCCATTTGGGAAAAGTTTTTCTCTTAAAAATAACTATTGGTTTTAGTTTCGTTCCATCCGCTAATCAAGAAAGGGCTAGGGTGAAATGAGATTTCTCCTGTCCCATTGTTGTTACGTTGACAGATTTTACTCCCTTTAAATCAATTGTTTTATTACCGATCATGTCAAACATGACTGGGGTCTCATCCATATTTCCTATTTGCGAAAGTAAATATTCCTTTTTTTCCGCAGTTCTATAATATATTTTTGAAAACTTAACAATTCCAAATTTTCGTGCGCATTATATGAAGAGTATATCTTAAAATTTAAAAAAATATCTTAAAATTTAAAAAAAGTTATTAGAAATTACGGGTGCGCGTTATGCGCCGGAATATACGGTATATATACATACTCAAGTCTTATTGCTCCAATAATTTATTTTCATGTGTAAATAATAAAAATTAAGCATTTCAAAATCAAACTTTTTATTATATTTTTAGTGCATCGATTAAATATTTTTCTGTGATGCATATATAGAGTACAGTATGAGCTCAGAAATCCGGACTCCTAAAATAAGAAAACTTCTACAAATCAAACTCATTTCATTACAAAAAAAAATAATAATAATTTTGAAATCGATATTGTTTTTTAGAAGAAAAAAATACTTCTGCTCTTAATGAAAAATGATTTGGAATGGTCATATCATTCATTTAGAATGGTCAAGCCCGAGATAGGGTAAACTAACCAGTGAAGGAACACTTAAGCTTTGCTTGCCTTCTAAAAAATCATATTAATTTCAAAATTCGTAATTTTAGTTAAATGACAGTGTCAACATATTTGCAACTAACTGCAAATTAATTAAAAAACTTTTTAGAGAACTTACATAAAAGTTGTTTTAAAGTTTTGGAGGTTCCAATAACAAGTAGTAAGAAGACCAAGTGAAGGAACAGCTCTTACCAGTGAAGGAACACAAAATTTCCCAGTAAAGGAACACTTAATTTTGGTTATTTTTTAATGTTCTTTATGAATTTATATGCGATACAAATATCTAATAACAAGCCTATTCTTGAAATTATAACATACAAATACTTAGAAAATGTTAACTTTTTTTTGTAATCATTAATTGAAAAGTAAAGTGTCAACATATTAACACATACTGTTCATTCACTGAGAAATCAATGCCCAGTAAAGGAAGCTGCCTGTTCCTTCACTGGTTAGGAGTTGTTTTTTGTACTTTTAACATACTTTTGATGCAAAACATCACTAAAGGTACAAGAAAATTAAAGTTTTTTTTTCATTTTCATTAACTTAGAAAAAACCCAGTAAAGGAACACTTGTTCCTTCACTGGTTTTTCATCGTTTGGTGATCCAGTGAATAAACACCCCTTTATCTCAGTACTTGATTATGCTTTGTTTGATGCTTAAAAAAAATAAAACGTAACTTCAATAACTATATTTTGAATTCTTATTTTCGCAGTGAGAAAAATAAAACTATTACATGCAATTAATTCCAATTCAAACATATAAATACAAACACTCACCTTATAATTTTTTCAAAGAAACAAGGTGTTGCAGAGATAATAACAAATTTAAACATTTTTCCAGAGAAGTCTATGTGACCAGGTGATCCAAAACATTGTTAGATGACTTTCTATTGTTTGGTAGTAAGCTATTGTTACCAATCAATCTAAAGAAAAACTTTCAAATTCTTATTTTTAATCAATATATATATAATGTTCCTTCACTGGTTGGTTTACCCTATATCAGACTACTTAAAGCCACAGTTCGCCTGAACCAAAAATATATGACAAATAAATTAAATTTCATGAACACTGCTTTTTCTGTGAGAACTAATTTTTATACAACATTCATGATACATTGAATATTTCTTTTTTCTACTAGACATTTTTTTTCTGCAAGATTTACTGTCCTGATGACCTGTTGGAGAACAATGTCCAACACCATATATAGTACCGACAGTACTTCGAGAAACTAAGGCAAAAATTAAAGTATAAAAACAAAATTATAAGCTAAATAAAAGTCATTTGATTATTAGTTTTAACCTCACTAAGCAAAGTACCAAACAGAAGTAGCAAATTACTGTAATTTTTTATACCTTATAATTTTTAAATTTTTCAAAATCTTAATAACTGTACCAAATGTTTGTTTGAAAGTAGTAAAAAGAAGTATCTGGAGTCTATGTTAAATTTTTTTTCTGTAAATGAGTATGTGCCAGCATCTGGCCAGTCTAATATGTCTATTTTCTTCAACAGCTAGGTTAGAAAAAATATTTGCTAGCTTTGGATTTGTTCAGTCCAAGCTGTGCTGCTGACAGGCTAAACGTGGGTAGTTTTCGTGGTTAACTCACGAAAAAAAATCTGCATAAATCAAAAATCATATATCTGAAGGGGGGAGGAAATTATGACTTTTGAGAATATCTGTAATAATCTGCTTAAAACCAAATTTTCTAGAGCTATGAAATTTTGTTGTTTGCAACTAATCTACGATAATTTTTACTACTTTTTGCGTAATTTTAGAAGGAATTAATAAGAAACCAAAACAATTTGATTGAAACGACTGTATTCTTGTATGGAAATACTGTCTTGTTTTTATGGAAATTAAATCATCATCAAAATGCTGAACATTTTGTTCTTTCATGAGCAACACATCTTTCCAAGAAATAAACAAAGAGTAATTTCATTTTTTTTCTAGCTTTCAGAAAATTAACTTTCTCTCTTTATAATGTAAACTTAAATCTGTAATTTTGTGAGGGAAAGTTTTTAGTGCTTTAAGTATAGGATGCTAAAAAGGCTAATTTAACTTTAAGTTGCAACATTGGAACAATTTTATTATTTTATATTGAAGTATAAAGTTTCAATTTTCAATATAGTATTGATATCTAAATGTTACTTTTTTTATTTAATTATAAATTCATGCATAATTTTATTAATATTACATACCTGTGAAGAATTAAGACGTATGTGCATCTTAAAATTGTGCTGAAATTAAGTTTCATAAACGTCAACTAGTAGATATTTTTGTGTTTATTTATTTTTTTAAATTTTTTTTAAACCCTGAGCATATTCATAATTACACAAATATACATTTAAAAATTAGAAGATAGTGTCTACTAGCATCGAATGATTGCTTCCATATTTGATAAAAGTGGGCTTTTTCTAAATTAATACAGTTATAAGTACAAAAGAAAAATTTTTAGTTTAATTGATTCACTGTTTATTTTGTTAATACTTATTTTATATAAATATTTAATTTATTTTGAGTAATTGGAAAATGTTAATTCAAAAAATTTTGTTGTTAAGCTTTGTGTTTTTCATGTTATTAATAATCTGTTTTTAAAATACTTTTTACTTTTTTTTAGTTTTGATACAATTGACCCTACCTTGATGATGAAAGTGCTTAAAACATTGATAACTCACCAAAGGTAATGGGTCTTTTATACTTCAGATCTCATTGAAGGAGACAAATGAATATGTTTCATTTCTTTTAAATTTTAGGTGCATTCCAGCTACAAAAAACTAAGCAAGTCTGAAATTGAAAATATTATTGGATGTATACGGAATGCCATAAATTCTATGCCTGTCTTATACATAATTTAGATAATGATTCAAATTTTAATAAACATGTGATTTTTCCATTTGTGTGCAACAAAAACACTGTGGTATTGATAGGGTTATCTTGGAGTTGACTTTTATTTTTATTGCAATTTTTAGAAATCACTTAGAAACATTAGTAAAGTCTATCATATAAAAATAAAGAAACTTTAAATTTATTCCCTTAAATGTTTTTATATTTCTAAGAGTTTTTTTTCAGTTAGCACAAAAACTTAGAGAGTGCAATACAAATGTTAGAGAGTATAGAGTGATATGAATATTGTTTATTTGTAAAGTGCAAAAGATAACTTTTTAAACTTCATGTCTATGCTGAAATGCTATGATACAATTATTACATAATGACTGAAACATTTCAGAAGCTGTTAGCGATATGTTATCTAAAACAAAAAGAAGAAGAAATATGTGAAAAATTTTAAGTTGAAATTAAATATATTTAAAGCATAAAAAATATTAGATAAAAGAAGAAAATTTTCTAAATTACTTAATTTTTAAAATAGAAGAGAAAGAAAAAATTTCCCATTTAAAAGCAAAAAAGTAAAATTACAAAATTTATTCAATAACTTGTGTATAAAAATATCCAGATGGATTGTTTGCACTCACTCCACTCATAAAAATCCTGTGTGGATTATTAGTTTCATTTTGCTGTTAATTTTCTTTTCCTATTTTAAAATTATCACTATTTTTTTAGACTTTAAAAAGCCCTCAGCAAGAGAGTGTTTCTTCCTCTTTAGATGGGAATAAAAGGGATTCCTCTCTGTTTCATACAGTGGGAAAAATTCTTTACCCAAAGCGTAAGTTTAGTTTATTTCCTATGGGATTCAATATTAATTTTGGCACTTGCTAAATAATTTAGATGATGTTGTTTATTTTATTTAGGTGATACTTCAAATAAGTCAAATCACAACGTACTTCCTACTTGTCTAAAAATGTTTGAGAAGGATCCTTTCATTTATAATCCTGAAATAAACAATTCAGAAATAAATACTCAATTCAAATCTAAACTGCTTTCAAGTCTAAGCCACACTCCAAGTTCTTAACACGTTTTGTTTCACGCAAAAAATAGTGTAAAAGGTTTTATTGATATCAGACATAGACTTCAGGAATTGAAACCAGGATAGCCTGGTTGGTATGGCACTGCACTCAATTTCGTGAGAATGGGAGTCCGAATCCAGCCTGCCGAAGACTTTCTGTATTGTAAATGGTGACTGGTGCTGGTTAAATCTGCCAGGTCACAAAGTCTTCCATGTCCGAATAACAAATTATACTTCTGGGGTTTTGGAAAGGAGATTGATCATTCTATGATTCTGGTCAAAATTTAATTACGACATGACACAGAAGACTGCACAAGAATGCATTACACATTTTTAATTCTTAGTAATGAAGAGTAACTTAAATTCCACCATCCTTTTTACCATAGAATACGCTGTGGGATTTATTTTTAGACTATGTCAACCGTCATCTATCAAAAGGTACCTCATGATAAGAGTCAAGTTAACATGTCTTACACAATAGTGAATTGGTATTTAATATTTATAGTGGTAGTTATGCCACAACGTCTCATTTAAGAAATGATGGTTCTTTTGTACTTTCATGTGGAATTCAATATGCTCTATGTTCATTTGCACTAATGTCAAAAGAATAGGTGGACTTCCATGAAACTTTTGCTATCCATTGAATTTTTGCCTATGTAAAAAAAATTGTTTGAAAGAGCAAAAATATTTAACTCCTGTTTTTGACGTGGTTTTCTTACAAAAAAGTAAACAAAAATTCCATATTATATTGGAATGAATAATTCAACATTTATCAAAAGTAAGTTTAACTTTCATATTGAAATATACCAAAATGTTGCATATATATGAAAACATCTGATATTTTTGTTGTTTTTGAAAATATTATGATTTTTACTGCTACTGAGTGCTTTCATATTTTCATTATTTTAAAACCAAATGTTTAAAAGAGCAAAAATGCTTAACACCTAAATTTGATGTGATTTTCTTATAAAAAATTA